ATCTTTCCAATCATTTCTCTATCTATCTCATTTCCCTACTATTCCAAAAAAATTTCCTGAACCAAACGCCCCCTTAGTAATTTTTAGAATATAAATAATATTATATGATAAATATTTTTTTTATTTAAAAACTTAAACAGGCCAGGTTTTTTATATTTAGCCAATGGCCTTGTTTTTAAACAGATTTACCTACAAGCCTTTACCTGTTCTAAGTACTTCAAAGGCAGGGCCGGGCTAGGCTTTTCATAGGCCAAGCCATATGCCCTTGTAGGCCGGCCTGACCTATTTACACCTCTAGTTAGGACCCCACGACCAACTCTAATGGACTTCCAACGCTTACCATTAACAATTGTAGAGTTAATATGAGTAATCTTCATCATTGCTGAGATAATGAGGGTTCTTTAGAGGCTGTTATTGAATCCTTGTCCACTTTGTAATATATATTTCATGCATCCAGATATAAACCTAGAACATATTTTAAATAAAAAACATAAACCCAATATAATGTCTTTGAGGTAGTGTTTGGTTCAGGAGAAGTGTCAATATCCCCAGCAATCCTTGAGTGGGAATCAGTGTTTGCATCGTTTGGTTCAGGAGAACCAAAATTTTTCCCAGTTTTCACAGTTGCATAGGCATCGTCTTTCGCGTGTAAAGAAGCAGGAAAGTTACTGTGCTATTTGTCCAAAGTTAATGTCGTATTCTAAGAAGCATAGCGAAATGGCTTTATGGGATGCACTTTTTTGACAAAACTACCCCGACGACAGTTGAGCAAAGTACACGCACAACTACCCTCATCATTTGTGACAGTTGCCATCACTCTTCCGCGACAGGTTCCATTTGGTAAAGTTAAACCCAAAACTTTTGAAACCTAAATCGAAGCATGACTGAAGAAACCAAATTGGCTATGGTCGGAGGTCAGGTAATGCTATGCAAACTCAGTTGTGAATCATTTTCTATCCAGTTGTGACATGCACTTCGATGGTTTAGTTTGATGTTACGAATTAAGAAATGGGTTCCTACAAATTTCTCCTCTATCTTTTTTGTATGTTCTTATATTTTCGACAAATGCATAGACAAAAATATAATGTTTGTTCAGATCTGTAAACCCAAAAGTTACTCTATCTTTTTGTACTCGTTAATTCTGCAAGCACTATTATGGGACATCATTAGTCACACACCATTGTCATATTTTTTATGGTATTGGTTGTGCATGTGATTTTCCTGTGATCCTTATTTATTAAGTTATGTGTTGTTTTGTAATTTTTTCAATATGGACGAAGATGGTGAAGGACCACATGTATTTTTGCATTCTAAAATTTGACAAACATATGTATTTGACTGAGGGACTGATAGTGAGTCTTGTAATGCATTGAATTCATTCCAAGCAAGGTCAGAAGGTATGGTTTCAGGTCCTAAATTTGTTAAACATGTAACATATTGTTCGAGATTGTGAAGTAGTGCACAATTGGGTAGTCACAAATTATAACTTGTATGTATCAGTTGGGTAGTCACCCTTGTTTCCTAGTGTTGGCTAATTTTCAATGAATATACACACTACAGATTTTTTGGCAAATGTTTAAATGAAGTGGATGGATGGTAGCTGTGATACTGACATTTTTTGTTGTGAATGCTACTGATTTTTTTTGGATGATGTAAATCTCACAGTACAGGGTTTAGGGATAAGCAGTTGTAGAGAAGTCAGTCACATATGTGTAAGGTGTTGAACTTTATTTTGTGTAAGCAGTGGTGTACTGTCTCCTATATGGTTGCATTTTGGACTTGTTAAACACATCACCTATTATTTATGTAAATCTATATATACTATCAGTTACAGGTATTTGTCCATTTATAATTGTTCAATTTCCCATGTCTGTCAAACTGTGACTGCATGCATTCAAATTTGCTTGCTACTATTGTTGCACTCCAGAAGACTTGCAGGTGCTTGGAGTTGAAGTTGTACTTACTTGCTTGCTGTCCTAATCATGAAAATGTTTAAGACAATGTGGTTTCCTATTGGGTCATGAGTTAGATTCCCTGTTTTCTCTTCCAGAATAATCTCCCTCTAACTGCCTTGGTGACTCAGCTTTTGTGATTGATTTGGTACATTTCTTTCAACTTTGTATCCACTTTTCCACAAGCTTTGGTGACTTAGCTGACCACAGATTCTTAATCCTTGGTGCTGGAGAGGTAAGTCTATATAATCATTTTTTGTTTCATATATATAAAATGATAAATAGAAATTCATTAGAACATGCAGTATGTCATACAGGACACCATACAATTGTCACCAGGTTCCTCTCCTGCATTTAGTCAGAGCCGTAACTCATATGCAACTCATAACCCTGGGTCAACATCCATACTTGGTGATTCATATGAACATAATCAGAGTTTATCCACTGTATGTGTACAAGTTTCCTCTGATATATTAATTGGGAACAATGGAATGGGTCATTTGGTCTGTCATACAGAATCAGGAACCTCAAGTGAACTCGAGATTACCAATGCATTAGTGGTCGGTTGGAGGAGCAATTAAGTTTGAATGAGGACAATCTTAAAGCCATTCCTCCCATCAGCAATGAGCACGAAATTGCACATTATTCAAATCCTCAAGGTTGCAGCATATCAAGGTACTCGGAGGATGGAAGGGCAGTTGCCTATGAAAGGAGCTATGAAGGTTGCTGCATTGACATATAAATGTTAAAGACTTACACTCTGTATTGAAGATATTGTATCATGTATTTCCATTTTGTAGTAACTTCAGGACTTACACGATGTATTTCCATTAGGCTGTGATGTTAAAATTGTACTTATACAACAAAGGATACATTTCAATAAGATTGTTAATTCAAGTTACCATGATCTTTTCTTGCACTAGTATGGAAGCTTGTGCAAATTCTGACCGAATGGCAGATATATAATTGTAACAGCCCTATGGTTCATGTGTTCCATATTATTTGTTTAATAAAAAAGAGACCAGTACAAACCATTATATTGATTTCTTGTGAAGCTTTGTATAATATTGTAATAATATTATAAGATTCAATCCGTTTCTTGATTAGGCGAGTCTTTTGTATTTATTTATTCTCTATGTGGTTCATTCAACATTACTAACACAAATGACCAACAAAGTGGTGCAGAGAAAATGGTAAATAATTGTAACATGTGCCACTGCCCTCACCTTCCATTTCATTACCAACCATAATATGTACAATGCAGACATTGCAATTAGTAGTGCCGTGGGTTTTATGCCGTTGGGTCAATTGAATGTAATTTCAAAAAGTTTTCAATAAGTTTAAAAAAAATAAAGGGTTATTTCTTTTGGGGGTTATTTTGTAATTTTATTAAATTTTCCCATCATTATTTTATCTTCAACCAAACACACATTCAGGAATTTCACTGAATTTTTCTGGTAAAATTTTGTCCAACCAAACAACATTTTTAAAATTTTCCCATATAACTCACTTTCCCTGCAGATCCCTAGTAATTACATTCCTCTAGTAAAACAAAGATTTCTCCTAAGCCAAACACCCCCTGAGGTTATTTTAGTCACGTAAATCTATTTCATGCCATATAATGCATTGTTGAACATATGACATATATTGCTGGCAAAAAAATTAAAATATTACACTTTTAATAATTAATTACGAATAGGTTGCAGTTTGGAAATTATCTACGAATCTATTGCAGTCATTCACGCTCAAATTAGGCGTGACTATTCACGCCTAATTTAGGCATGACTCCCAAGGCATTCACACTTAAGTTAGGCGTGACTCGTCTGGTGTTGACACGTGGCACAAAAAATTAATAGTTTAACAGTAAAACTTTATTAGGCTATAACTTTTGACTCGGGTATTCGAATGAGGTAATTTTTTTTTGATTCCACATAACTTTTCGAGATCTACGCAATGACATCTCATTTGATATATTTTATCTCTCACAAAACACAATTCAAATTTGCAACAATAATACTATAAAAATGGAACCAAAGTGGATTAACTCATCTATAAATAAGATGACACCAAATTTCCTATTAAATACAAAACGCAATCAGCTCCTATTAAATACAAAACACAATCAACTCCTATTAAATACAAAATTCAAATAACCTCTAGCAAATTTGTTTGAATTGGCGACAATCTGTAACCAACTCATAAAATTACAACGCAATCCGCTCCTATTAAATACAAAACATAATCAACTCCTATAAATACAAAAATGCAATCAACTTATTGGAGGTTATTTGAATTTTGAATTTTAAATTTTGAATTTAATGTTATAGTACATTATTGGGCATAAATGAGTGCAATATATTCGTAATTAAGTTCAAAACGGCAACTTATTCGTAATTAATTATTAAAATATATACAAATTTATATAATATTCTACCAATTGTTTAAAATATTTATTTAATTATTTTCTTTATTAATACAGATTTCTCAAATTGATTTTTGAGTTTAAATCACAAATTAAATCTTTATTTTGTTTTTCTTATTAATAATAATTTTTTAATTTTTTTGGTAATACACTATATAATACAATTATTGCAAATTTGAATTGTGTTTGTGAGAGATAAAATATATCAAATGAGATGTCATTGCGTAGATCTCAAAAAGTTATGTGGAATCAAAAAAAGAATTACCTCATTCGGATATCCGAATTAAAAGTTATGGCTTTCCAAAGTTTTACGATTCGTAAGTTGACTTTTTTTGCCACGTGTCAACACCAGATGATTCACGCCTAAATTAGGCGTGAATGCCTTGGGAGTCACGCCTAATTTGGGCGTGAATGACTGCAATAGATTCGTAGATAGTTTTCAAATAACTATGTATTCGTAATTATTTATTAAAATAATAATATTTTAATTTTTTTCCCATATATTGCTAGAATGTTTAGTTCAAAACCCTCGCATATGTTTGGTTTATTTATTTATTTATATAATTTTTTCAAAAGCTATTTGAGTGCTAAGGCCGCCATTCCAAGCCCACAAATACACAATTCATAAAGACAGGGAATTGGAGCGAGAAAACATTATTCATCTCCAATTTTACGGAAGAGCCTCAAATCCCAAGTCATACTCTACCGAAGCACCGTCACATTCGAAGACCAAGATGCTCCACAACAAGTCCTTCGTCAAGAAAACCCGAGGTGGCAAAGTCACGAAGGTTCGCTCTTCTTCCTCTCAAACCCTAACCCTACCTCGCTTTTCTTTTCTTTCTTTATAAATAATTTTTGGTTTTCTATGTTTGGGAACAGCAAGTGAGGGAGCACTATCTACGAGATGATATATTCTGCGGTGCTCCATTTTGCACCGTTTGCGATTCTTCTGTTGCTCGTCTTAGTGCTTCTGCTTCCACCATTCTCGTTGTTGACACCAATGTCGTTCTCAACCAGGTCTGCTTCGAGTTAGTTTTACTTTGAATTGTTTGTTATGAAACAACAAAGTGTTTTTTTTTTTTTTTGTGAATTTGGAATACTTCTATCATGACAGATTGATTTGCTGGAGAATCCGGCCATTGATGATGTTGTTGTGTTGTCCATTGTGCTGGAAGAGATTAAGAACAAGAATATAGCTGTTTACAATCGGATAAGAGCTGTATGTAGCAATTTAATGAGGAATTTCTTTGTTTTTTCCAATGAACATCACAGGTAGGTTTATTTATTTTTTGAAGTATTTTTTTTTTTTGATTTACTATTTTCTAGTTATGATGAAATTATGTTATGATAACAATATAGTAGGAAAACAAGAAATTCTATATTACAAAGGAGAACAACGAAAAATCTAAGACTGCAGCACGGCTGCTCAATCTCTTCGCTGCATTTAAAAAAAGTAACTCTATATCCCAAACAAGGTTAGGGGCAGTGAATCAACCTTTAAACTTTTGAGCATTCTGCTGTGCTCCCACCACACGCATCAAATGGCTGCAAAGACTATTTTCTGTCATAAATTTTTTGTTTCTTTGTTTTTTTAAATCCTTTTTTAATGAACCATGAATAACTGCTCCAGGGTAGAAAGACACACCCAGTGTTCCCCGATACTCCTGAAAAGATTATTTTAAAGAAAATTAGCTCCTTGCTGTGCAAAAAATGAGTGATCTACTGTTATGAACTAGAATTGAATATAAGAATTTTATCAGGAGAAAGAGAGGTGTGAGGTCTACAAATGGGCTACAAATCATTTGTATAAACCCTATTAAATACTGCTAGTCAAACAAAAGACTTGAACTTAAAGGTAACTTTGGACTTCGAATGGGTTTGTTGTCAATAAGGAATTTTTGAGTTAAAACTGAAAGAAAGACTCGTAGACCTCACCAGAATAATCCAAGTTCTAAATTAGCCTATCAAGATTGGCTGAGAAATAAATAAGAGTCAAGTAAAACCAAAAGGGATTGTGGTTTTCTAGTTTTTCTATGATTCAAATCTCTTTAAAAATGGAAATGCCAATATAAGGAAAGGCCCCGAGTTTTATAAAAGTAATGAACGCGCAAACCTCTTGTAATTAGTGGAGAGTTTGTATATTTTACTCATTAATTTGCTTCATGTCATGCTGCTAATTATTTCTACTTGTGGATAATGGCATGTGGGTGACCTAAATTTGATTTGATACTGTGTGCCTCTGTTGGCAGGGATACTTATGTTAAGGAAATGAGTGGGGAAACTAAAAATGATAGGAATGATAGAGGTTTGCTTTCCATACGAGCTGTAAATTTATTCTTTATTTATTATATGCTTTCTGGCTCACTTTGATTGTTTTATTCATGAATTGCCAATAGAGATAAAATCGTTTTGAAGTTTAACTTTAGAGTGGTAATGCAGCTATTCGAGTGGCTACTCAGTGGTATCAGAATCATCTCGGTGATGCAGTAAAGGTTTTACTTATAACTAATGATAAAGAGAACAAAAGGAAGGCTAGTGAAGAAGGCATTCATGCAGAAACAGGTAATTTGAACTGTATGATAAATAGCCAGGCGACCAATGTACTTTCAGCTGTGTTTATGAGGAATATTCAAACTAGCAGTTTTGTTCAATGAATTCATCCTAAAAACTTATTAATCAATTTGTCTCTTGTTTCAGTTGAGTCCTATGTCAAGTCTTTGGACCGACCTGATTTACTTGACCTGCTTGTTCGGACTGCATCTGAAGATGTGGACTTGGAACAGATTGAAGATCTCAGACCATCCAAGAGGAAAGTCATCTATTCAGAGGTGTTCAATTAATTTCATTTCTATCTAGTGATTTGTATTGTGTCTGTAGATTTTTGTTAAATTACTATGATGGAGTATTTACATTCTGTTAATATTCAGCATAAGCCAATGTCAGAAATTACATCTGGCTTGCATCGTGGAATATATCATCAAGGGAAACTACGTGTAAACCGTTACAATCCATTCGAAGCATATGTTGGGAGTGAGAGCATTGGTGACGAAATAATTATTCATAGTCGCTCCAACATGAACCGAGCTTTTGATGGTGATATTGTTGCAGTTGAACTTCTGCCTAAGGACCAGTGGCAAGATGAGAAGTCTCTATCTATAGCTGGTGAAGGTATGTTAATTGTTAGACTATTTATACTCTGCTGTAAGGCAGACTTAAAATTGTAAGAATTTATTCTTTTAATTTATCTTATTACTTATTTTTCTTAGAAGAAAAACGTTTAAAACATAACTTAGGTCATCAAGTCCAGGGCTCTTAATTTTCATTCATAAATCTGGACAATGGATTTCATTATTAGATTCTAGAAATCTTGTTTCAAAATTATGTATAGACAGAAAACTAGGCCAATTTCATTTAATTGTCGACCCTAACTATTTATCCATCATGTTCAAAAATTTAAAATTGAGAAACTTTAAAGGAAATATAGTAACAAATCTTTAATTTTAAATTTCAGCAAAAGTAAAAAGGTTTGATGGATAAAGAGATCTACATATGTGGGCATTGGGTAATTTGGAGGGAAAATTGACCTTGTGCTTCGTGATAACTTAGTGTTGGAAATCGACAATCACATAAATCAAACGAAAATAGAGAGAGAGAGAGAGAATAGACACAGTGATTTACTTTGGTTCACTCAATTTAGGCTACGTCCAGCTTGTTTGTTCTATATTCACCTCTCCGCCACTCGTTACAAGTCACTCGGTTTACAAGGAGAATATAAATTGGATTAGAAAACCCTAACAGTAGCTATTCATGGGCTCAAGCCCCAACCCAAACTACCAAGAAAATGATAAATTACAATAAATTAGAGGCCTACAATAGTACCTAGCCTCTACGGGCTTGGGGTGTTGTCCCCCGAACCTTCGCCCGCTCATCTGGGAGCGAGACCCTAGTTTCCTTTCTGCTGACCCCGACAACAAGGGCCCTCATCAACATGCGAAGTATGAGCCATACCCAACACTTAGGACATCCAAACTGTTGAAAATTTCAAAATTCTTTCAATACCGACATTATGTCATTCTAATTCACATGTTGCGTGGCTTAACTTAATGTTATTTTTTTAATTCTAGTATGAGTCAACATCATTCTTACCAGCTGCAAGCATCAGACAACACTGTTATCAGAATCTCATGAATCTGGATTTGATTCATGTATTCGGGGACCTATCTATACAAATCGTGTGCATTGGATGCTGCATGACCCATTTAAAACCCATTTTTTATTTTTTGTAATTTTTTTAAGATATTAGGGGGAAAGTACTGAACTTTCTGTCCATCTCCCTATGAAAAGAAAATCAACCTGAAATACTTTCTCTCTTCCTTTTGTCCCTACTTCAACTAAGAACTCCTGCTTTCTGGTCTGTATTTTTGGTCTGCTGCTCCATCTCGCACCAAGAAACCATACTTTCTTTCATTTCTAGCCTCTTTTTAATGCACCCGAGCTGACTGGCTTGGGTTGGGCTTTTCCATTATTTATTTCTTTATTTAGAAAATTTAATAATTGCTAGTTATTTCCTTTTTGTTATTTTAGATTACGTTTGAGTGTGCGTTGATTGTGTGTTATTTCTTTTGATTGCGCATGATTATAGTTATTTACTTTTTCTGTTATTTTATTTTTGCCTATTTAAGGCTTGGAGAACTCTATTGTTATTTGGTTGTTTTTGGTTAAAGAAAATTAAGAAAAGAGAATAGTATTTTCTCGCAATCTTTGTATTTGTTTTTACTTCTGTTTAGCCAATTGGTCACTGCTTCGGCATTGCTTTTGGTGGCAAGTTTCTATTTTATTTTGTTGTCTCACTACTATAATGTTCTTAAAATTATAGTTTTATCTTTTTGACTATATGACTTCAATTTTGATATATCTTGAAATTTAATTTCAATTTGTTAACTATATAATAAATTATTTTTCTTTAAAATGCTAATATCTAGATGTTTGTAATGTTTTATTATGTTAAAAACTTAAAATATATTTGATAATTTATCTTGATTCATTTGGTTTACGATAATTTTCAATTCACTTCGGAAATTAAGCCTTACATCTCATGATTCCATAAACATGTCAGACAGTAATGTTGCTCATATTATTATTTTGAGCAAAAGAAGAAATGCAAAGGAAAGAGAGGATGAGATGTCCAAGCAAAAAAAATACAATGACATTAATACAACAGAGCTTTTCATTTTTCATTGCCTCTGCATATTCACATGCTCAATAAGCATGGGAACATGCTATTTTGTTTTCTTCTCTTCCCTACTGCATTTAACCCGAGCATGCTTCTTCTTGTGCTTGAAATAGCTCAGTCCGTTTTGTGTACGTGCATGTCTGTGAACATGCTTTTCTATTTAAATTTCTCATCAGGTAATATTATTTGCTTGCAGAGGATGAGGATGATGATGATGATGTTCATCTAGCTCCAAATAGTGCTGATGTTGCACCTAGAACTATTCCTCAGCAAGATTCTCCAGGAGATACAAATGGCGTATCCAGTCGCCCTTTTGGTCGTGTTGTTGGCATTATAAAGAGAAACTGGAATCGGTAAGTTTTTTTTTGGGAATTACTTGGAACATTTTTGTGCTACTTAACAAATTGTCATTCAATTTATTGGAAAGTAATATCTCTTTTTCTTTGTATAGAAGAAACTAATATCACTTTTATCTCCACTAAGTGATACTCTGCAAATTCTTTTGTTTTGTATCATTCTGTGTGTAAACTAGTTAGAAGTGTTAGAAATATGATGAGATAGATCTGAAACTTTATGCACGTGTGCTAAACAAGTAAAATTTCCAATACAAAATATATAAAGTGGAACACACTGAAGTTTGAATAAAGAACGAGAGTAATGTAATTTTAAATTTTTTGATTAGCTTTTGACCATCAAAACTCATGTTTTCTGATGCTAATTACACTTTGTGGGAATAAGTGTGTTCTTTTTAGTATTTTGTGATGCTCAAAACTAAATTTCCCTGTGTTCCATATGATTTTAGGACAAACCCATTTAGCTTGGAAAATGTTAAAATGCAGATAAAGGCCAACATTTTGGAAAAATATTCACTTTTGTCAACATTTGTTAAATATTTTATTTATTTGATAAGATTTTTTCCGTGAGGATGCATTGGGAATGACTTGTGCAAGAAATAATTCCAAAAATATAAACAAAGAAATAAGGGAAAAGAAAAGTGATTTTTCCTTGTCTGAAGAGTTTTTGGCTTATAAGTACTATTCATTGGATGATGAGATTTGTTTTTCTAGCTTAACAACCAAAACACTGAAGCAACTCAAAGTTGAACGAACAATTCTTCTTGGGGTTGATGTAGTCATCTCAATCCTCAACTTTGGCAAATACAGTTAACCCAGAAAGGAAACTATTGGTTCTATTCTTATTCTTGTAATGTTTCCCTCTTTGAAACAACTGACAATGGCAATCAATTAATAGAGGAAACATCTTTTTCCTAAACTGTGATGAAGGTAACCTTCACAAAAATGGATTACATTGCCCTCCTAGTATGTAACACACTTCAAAATCCTTAATCATGAATATTGTTTCATCAACCAATCCTCTGAGTTGGTTTAATTAAAGGCAAGTTGAACTGTAGCCTATAGTTCTTCAGATTTGTTATTAGAGGTTGGGCTGTCTATGCTTATACAAGTTGTGCTTGTTTAATGGAGAAATCCAATTCTTTTCCAGCTGTATTGCCTTTGTTAGTGACCAACTCTCTAAAAAGTATAAGCCGTTAGGTGAAGACTCGTGAATGGTTTTTGTGTCTAACACATCTTCTCTTGTAAGAACCCTTAAGGTTTTGAAGTATGGACGATGCACATTCCCACCTATGCCAATTCAACTTTAATTTAGAAGAATATGACTGGCAAGGATTGAAATCTTGACCATTTGGTTATGGAGTCTATGATACCATTACCGTGACTCTATCAAAGATGGAGCTTTTTTGGGGAAGGCTCATAGAATAATTTTTATATTTAACAGTCTTAACAACTTTATATCTTTATGACTTTATTGGATGCATATAGCATCTTGTTCTCTGTAATATATTTGTGACTGCCACCGTACTTCAATTGTTCATATTGTCAATGCAAGTGTGAAACAGGTAATTTTATAATTACTCTTTACACAATTATGTGGCACATCAGGGACAGGGTCCTATCCTTTCACACTTGAGCTAGCTTTAGGTGTGGCATATAAGGTGAAAACTTAAAGTAAAATGAAAAAGATAATATGACATGTCTTTGAAGATGAAGGTGCACGGAGATTATGTCCTTAAGATGGATTTGCTAAGTACTTCATATTAATTATATTCGTTCTTTGAATGTTAAACCTTGTCAACTGATCAGTATTTTTTGTTTGTTAAAATGTTGATAGATTACCAAAAAAAAATAAAATATTGATAGATAAGGATGGGTCTGTGCATATCATTTTGTAAATGTAGTTCTGTTGTTTCATGATTGATATATTTAAATTGTCTTTGCAGGTATTGTGGATCTTTGGAGCCAATGCCTATGCCAGCAGGGAGTGGTGGTGTTGCCCATGCCTTGTTTGTCTCCAAAGATCGCAGAATTCCCAAGATTCGAATCCAAACCCGCCAGCTTGAGAATCTTTTGGACAAGAGGATTATTGTGAAAGTTGATTCTTGGGATCGTCAATCTCGATATCCATCAGGCCATTATGTAAAAAGTATAGGAAAGATAGGTGATAAAGAAACAGAGAGCGAGGTATGGAATATTGGATTTGCATGCTTATTTTTCTCTTTGAATGGAAATTGGGAAGACAATGATTGGTGGTACTTTATGCTTGTATTCTCTTGTGGTTTTGATGAAGCTGACGCGTATAATATTTTCTAAGAAGTGATTTTTCCCCCTTCTTCATCTCATTGTCTTATGACTTGATAAAAATTTGAGATTTTAAACCTACGAGTTTTGAAAACTAATATAATCATCAATCACTGATGGTGTACCTCGTTACATGCATATGATTTTTGTTGATTACTTCACTTGTTTACATTTTGTTGATGACTTCATTCACTAGAAAGAAAACTGATGGAACCGAAAAATTGAATAACCGGAATTCAAATTAATTTGGGGACTCAGCCCTTTTCAGCAATATTCACAGACTCAAAAACACAGTGACGATCCAATATACTGACTCTAGGACCCAACCAAAATAACAACAAGAGACTCCAGGTAATTACACTAATAACCAGCAAAGATAAAAGATAACCAAAGATACTCCCCTCTACAAGGAACAACCCACCTTGCAGAGCAACCCAGTTCCTTTTTCCTGTTTACACAAATTCCATGCTTCTCCCTTTCCCCCTTTCCCTGCTTATAACAACATAAGCATTGCTGGACTTGGGCTCACTTGTCTTGGCCTATCAATACTCCCCCTCCAAAAGTCATCATGTCCTCAAGGTTAGGGAAGAGATAAGGTAATGTGAAAGAATTTCTGCACAGGTCCCATTGCTTAAAGTTGGCCTTAACCTCTCCAAAGCTGGCTAACCATTCATTCCCCTAAGATAGGATCATCTCCCTTTAAGTGTTTGATTTCCAATTCTGGCAGCCTCCGAAGCAACCCTTTACATGCTCCTTGGTTCTTTATTTTATGACCATCGCCCTCCTTCATTGTATAAGCCTTGGTTTGCTCCACTGTATATGCCATGCTATGCATACTCAAACGAAGAGCCCCATGATACATGCAATAGTTGACAAATGATCCCTCTTTTTGTATAAATCTTGCAACTGAAAATACCATGTCCACTGCAGTTCTATGAGGAACTAGACCTCCAAACTCAGTAAACCAGCCAGTCCGCATCTTTGGTTTGTAAGCCTTATTTGGAGAGAAATAATCACAATAGAAGCCGTTGCAAGTATTAATAACAGGACCAGGAGCATCAACTTGTTTGCTTATGACCCATAGAATCCCAATACCAGGTCCTACAGCAATATGTGCTGCCCACTAAGTGTATGACTTACCAAGAGCACCAATTCATACTCCATAGGTCCATATTCATCTTCAATCTTGTCCTCAATCACGTGCTTGATATTCAGGGATTCCAGCGCCACCGCTCCATCCACCACCATCTCCGCTGTCAGCTGTCTGTATCACGCATTGCATTTGTCTCCGTTGCTGCGGCCTCCCCCCGAACCACCATGCGTGGATCCTTGCCCCTCTCCATTCTTAGCAGTGGCTTGATCTAGGGTAGAATTTAATTCATTGGGCCTCGTTTGCAGCCTAATTGTTCTGTTATACGCATTTGGGTTAGGTCCACTAATGTTAGTGCTTTGAGCACTTTGTGTTGCAAAGCCCACACCCCCAACTCCCTCGCCACTAGGATTTCTAGTCCGAGTTGTCAAAGCAGGCCTGGTATGTGAGCCCAATGTTGACCCATTTGATACTGACCTTTTTCGTTCCCTTATAGTTGCTACTTCCTCTTCGTTTCTTTCTTCTGTTTCTTTTTCTTCTATTTTTTCTGCATCTTCTTCTTCCTTGTCTTGTTCGACTCTTTTTTCTTCTTTCGCTTCTTTTGTCTCTTTGATCCTCGATGCTTGGGTCGTCGTTGGAGTCTGATTAGCGAACATGAGAAGACAGATTTGTGCCCTTATTTTCTCCCTTAAAGCCTTGAGCTCTACTCTCCTATTTTCTCCTCTTGTGGTTTAGATCCATTTCTATCTACACGATTTAGGAACTCTTGAACGGTTTCTCGAAGCTGACGAAAGGCATTCTCAACTCCACTCATTCTTTCTTCCAATAACTGCGTGCACATCTCAACCTTCTTTAATCTGTTTTCCATTTTTTTTTTGTAAGGACCAGAAGCACCTCCGGGATCGAAGATGCTCTGATACCAAATTGATGGAACCGAAACATTGAAGAACTGAAATTCATATTAATTTGGGAACTCAACCTTTTTCAGCAATAATCACAGACTCTCAAACACAGTGACTATCCAATATACTGACTCTATGACCCAACCAAAATAACAACAACAAGAGACTCAAGGTTATTACGCTAGTAATTACACTAATAACCAACAAAGATAAATGATAAAAGATAACCAAAGATACTACCCTCTGCAAGGAACAACCCACCTTGCAGAGCAACCCAATTCCTTTTTCCTGTTTACACAAATTCCATGCCTCTCCCTCATTCCTTTTACCCTGCTTATAACCATATAAGCATTGCTGGACTTACACCCACTTGTCTTGGCCCATCAAAAACGAAATTGAAAACTCCTTCCATACATGAAACGAAGCATTAATATTGTTAGATAAATATAATATAAAAAACCATTTATGTGGTCTTCACCTAACAACTCAAAGTTGTTGGGTTGAATTGGTTTTTTTTATGGTATCAGAGTCTACATGACCAAGTGGGCACAAATTCAATCCTCATCATCTCCATTCTATTAATAAATAATTAAATATTATGGAGTTTCATAGCATAGGTAGGTAGATTTGTGCATAGCCCAATAGGCTCGTGTGAGGGGACGTGTTAGAGAAGTATAATATAAAATTATGAATGTGGTTTTCACTTGGCTGCTTGAGTTATTGAGTTGAATTAATTATTTACAAATACTTTAACATAATTAAGATTGAATAATTGTGTGTCTAATACGAGCGCTCAAGGAATATATTTATATAAACAAGTACATAAACTAATCTATCATATACAAGATGTGGGACTATTCTGTTGTATACACAGTACTACTTTAATATACTATTCTAACACTCCCCCTCAAGCTGGTGCGTATATATTGTGAGCACCCGGCTTGTTACAAATGTATTCAACCTGAGGACCTCTCTAAGAGACTTAGTGAAGACATCCGCGAGTTGATCCTTGGAGTTGTCTAATGCCGTTTTGATTTCTCCTTACTGAATCTTTTCTTGAATGAAGTGACCATCGATTTCTATATGTTTGGTTCTCTCATGAAATAAGTGATTAGATGATATATGTAGTGCAACTTGATTGTCACAAATGAGTGTCATGGACTGTTTTTATTCACAAAGATTGAGCTCTCGAATCATCTGCTTTAACCACATTAGTTGGTAGGTGGCAACTCCCATTGCACGATACTCAGCCTCTGCAATGGATCGGGCGACAACAGTTTGTTTCTTACTTTTTCAAAATATTAGGTTTCCTCCAAAGACGATACAATAACCTAAAGTAGAGCGTCTATCCGAGGGTGGTCCTACCCAAGGGCATCTGAACAACCACAAATTTCTGTATGTGCCTGATTTGAATATAATAAGCCTTTCCTTGGTGATCTTTTGATGTAGCGGAGGATATTCACAACAACATCACAAGGAGAATCACAAGAGATGTCTGGCCTAGTCATAGTGAGATAATTGAGTTTCCCAATCAACCTTCGATAATATCCAGGATCAGATAATGGCTCCTCCCTGTCCAGGCAATAATTTGATATTAGGATCCATGGGTGTATCAACAGGCTTACACCCCAACATACCAGTCTCCTCTAGGATATTCAAGGCATATTTCCTTTGACAGATAGAAATGCCCTGTCTAGACTGTGCTAGTTCAATTCCTAAGAAGTAACGAAGCTTACCAAGATCCTTTGTCTAAAATTGACTGAACCAATATTGTTTTAGTTGGTCAATACCAGCTTGATCACTTCCAGTGAGAATGATTTTATCGACATAGATTAACAGATATATGCACTTTTCACACTTTTCAAGATATATGCACCTATAAAACACAAAATGATCAACCTCACTACGGATTAAGCCAAAAGCCTGAACGACAGAACTGAAATGGTTGAACCATGCCCGAGGAGACTGCTTGAGGCGATATAAGGACTTACGAAGTCTACACACCATCCCAGACTCCCCCTGAACAACAAAGCCAGGTGGTTGCTCCATGTAAACCTCTTCCTGTAAATCACCATGAAGAAAAGCATATTTAATGCTATGATTGAAATAGCGCCGCTTTAGCCCGCATTAGCGCTTCAGTTGCGTGTTGCGGCACCCAACTGCTATTTTTGCACCGCGACGAGACAGTTTCTGGTAGCGGTCAGTAGCGGCCGGTTGCGGCGGTGGCGGACTGCAGCTCTTGCGGCGCTATCGCGCCGCTACAGGGAAAGGAAGAGAAGTTACAGACATTCAGGGGAGAAAAAGAAACGTAAAAAGCATGGGTGGCAGCATTTTGTAAATTTGAGTATCATTTAAGGATATAATAGGAAAAGGCCAGAATAAGTGAGGGGTAAAATAAATATTTTATTGAAAAAGCCAGCGTCTTTTTTTTGGGTAACGTTATCACCTTCCTTTTTCTTCATTGATTTTGCTGCCAGCTTTTGGGTAATGTGTCCGTAGCAGTGCTTGGTTTGATAAAATTTAATAATGCCACCAAATACATAATTAAAAAAAAGGAAATAGTGGGAAGAAGTCAAGAGAAAAAAAAGTTGTAGGTGATGCTGCAGCTACTGTTCAGATTCTTTGGAACTGAGTTTTGATGGCTCCTTCTCCTAGTTCACTGCATCATTACCCCTATTCTCCTCTTTCCTATTTTTATTTATAATCATAATAACAATAATTTCAAGTCCCATTGTTTTTCTATCCACCAATTCACATTTTAATCAAATATATTTATTTTTAATAATCAAGATTTATATTATATACTTTAAATAAATTATAATTTGCATGATCTTCTAATGTAATATAAAAATAATTTGTTACCGTAATATCTATATATATATAATTAAATTTTTACATTTTATATTAAGATAGGAAATTACAAAATTATTATTGTTGATTTATTCATTAATATTTAGAATTCTCTCACATAAAATAAATCATACTAAATGATATATGAGATAATTGATCTTTTGAAGTAATAAGAATGACCTTAAAAAAAATGTGTTTGGCTGTATTGTTATTAATTTAGTTACTTTCATTGAATTAATATGTTGGTTCCTTTATGTTCCTTGAATCCTTGTTGTGAATGTGTAGTATTATATTTTGCATTCCTCATTTCCTTCTATTTTGGGTGATTTCTTATCTTATAGAATTTATATAGTATTTATATATGTGGTATAATTTATTATAAGTAAATATGGACTTCACAGTAGCGGCTTTACCGCTTCCCGCTATAGCGTTTTGGGGGTCGGCCGCTACTGTTCGTTACCCGCTATTTAAAACTATGATTTAATGTCCAGTTGAAGGAGTGGACAGTGAAGAACAGCAACGAGGGCAATAAACATGCGAACAAACGCTATCTTAGTGACATGAGAGAATATGTCACTATAGTCAAGGCAAAAAATCTGAGTAAAGCCCTTGGCAACTAAGCCTTGCGACGGTCAACATGGCCATCGGGTCCAACCTTGACAGTAAAGATCTATCGACAACTAACAATAAACTTCCCCGGAGAAGCAAGATTAAGATTCCAAGTGCTATTAGAATGAAGAGCGGTCATCTCATCAAGCACCGCTTGGCGCCACCCTGGATGGGAAAGTGCTTCACTTGTGGTCTTAGGAATAGAAACAGAAGAAAGACTAGAAACAAAGGTGAAATGAGGAATAAAAAGACGGTCATAGCTCAAATAAGTATAAGGAGGATAGGGTTACGAGTAGTATATGTTGAGATATATAAAACCATTAATGTAGCCTCACCCAACAGCTTAAGCTTTTAGGTTGAATTGGTTCTTTACATGGTATCAGAGCCTCGGTGTACCGGGTTCTATCTTCATTGCCCTCCACTTTCTTTCTAGTAGAATTTCTTTCTTCGCACAGGTAAGTGAGCCTGTGCATCGTCCACTCTTCAAGCCCAGTCGGCTCTCGTGTGAGGGGGCGTGTTGAGATATATAAAATCATTAATGTAGCCTCACCCAACAACTCAAGCTTTTAGGTTGAATTGGTTCTTTACAGTATGTATATCTTTTCTTTGCGCAATGAGAAGAACCTCTGGTGAAGGATTTGGAGGGGAAAGGAGAAGGCGATGAGTCAGCCCGGGTCATTTCTATAGGAGGCACAATCTGACGACGTTGATAAGTGAGAAAACGGCGGTCCTCAGGGATGGAGGCAAGTGGTCGTTCTCTGGGATAGAGTCACCTGCAACTGGTAAAGATATGTTAAGAAAAGGAACAGGAAGAACTTGATCAACTTGTGACAACTGAAATGGGATAGAATGAAAGGGTTGTTGATCAAGAAAAGTGATATAAGCGGAAACAATATAACGCTTAAGATAAAGAGAATAACAACATCCTTTTTGAAGACGAGAAACCAAGAAAAATACACTTAAAGGCTTTGGATGTTAACTTGTCCTTACCAAGAGTGAGAAAATGAACAAAACAGGTACAACCAAAGGTATGCAGGGATAGAGGATGAACAAAACAGGTAAAACCAAAGACATTGTTAAGCATAGAGGAAGGCATGCGGTTGATGAAAAAACAAAAGGCCAGTACTGCATCTGCCCAGAAGTGTAGAGGAACATGCATGTGAATAAGAAGAGTCCGGGCAGTTTCAATGAGATGTCTGTTTTTATGTTCAGCCACCCCATTTTGTTGTGAAGTGTGAGGACAAGTAGTTTGGTGTAAAGTACCTTGTGTGACCATTAAATTAGAAAAGTTGAAATAAACATATTCCTTAGCGTTATCACTACGTAAAATATGAATAAGAGGCACCAAATTGAGTATGAACCTCAGCAGAAAACTTTTAATAAATGGAGAATAACTCAGAACGATTTTTCGTTAAATAAATCCATGTATAAAGGGAATAATCATAAGTAAAAGTAACAAAATACCAAAAACCTAAAATAGACAAAGTATGACTTGGACCCCAAATATCTGAATGAATAAGAGAAAAAAGAGCATTAGCTAGTTTATTGACTCGACTGGCAAAGGAGGAGCGTGTGTACTTCCCTTGCTGACTCGACATACAATCTAAAGACCAAAGACCAGATAAAAGAGGAACCATCTTCTGCAATTTTGAAAGACTTGGATGACCGAAGCGATTGTGGAGATTCTGTGAGAGAGCATACCACTGAAGGACGAGGCACAACTAGATTCACGACACACTCTAATCGTCTTCCCCGTACCCGGATCCTGCACAGAAACAAAATGGTTAGCGAAGGTAATAATGCAAGTAAGGGAGTGGATCAATTTACTAACAAAAATTAAGTTATAAGGGATGCCAGGAATGTTATAGGCAGATGTGAAGGTCAAAGAAGAGGTCGGACGAGCTTGTCCAATCCCATGAACAGTGGCTTTAGTGCCATCAGTAAGGGTAAAGGAAGGTAAATGATAAGTAAGAGATGTAAAAGAGTTCTTTATTATCACAAAGGTGATCGGTAGTACCTGAGTCGAATATTCAAGGACCAAGTGATGTAGAATGAGAAACACAAGCAACAGGATTACCAGTATCTGAAGCAGAAGGCTGAAACCGAGGAGAAGCTTTATCGTGAAGAGTCTAGAGTCCTGCATAGTCTGCAGGGGGAGAGAGAGACTGAATTGGATGAAGCAGTATTTGACTGAGCTATATTCACAACATGAGAGGGTCGCAGATGAGGATACTTCGTGTAACAATGCTCCTCATGATGATCAAGTTGCTGACAATAACTACAACGAGGTTGCTCACCACGTCCACCTCGGCCACGACCACTGTTTCCGCGAGAGTCAGTACGACAAACAAGAGCAGTGGAATCCACAACAGAAGATGAATCAGGCGCAGACACTGGTTTTTGTTGAGATTCAAAAGGCGCTAGTAAGTCAGTGATAAATCAGGATCCCCACTAATCAAGATAGTGTCGCAGACACTATCATACTCCTTGGGAAGACCAAAAAGAGTGGCAACCATAAAAAGGCACTCCACCTGTTTTCTATATGCAGAAGCATCAGTAGGGTAAGGCAACATATCCAAGTATGCCTGCATCAAATATTGACTTTGCCAATGTATGTCTCTATCTAAATGTCAGATGATTTGCGCAAATCCATGAATTGAGAAATGATAGAATAGAGCTGCTGAATATCATTAGTGTAGAGGTTTTTAGCTTCCCACACTTCATAGCATGTTTGAAAAGAATAGAAAACGTCAATAATGATTGGATCAATAGACGACCAAAGAATACTCAGAAGCTAGTTGTCAATCCTTTCCCAATCAGATTTTTCTTCCTTAGGAAAAACATTAGATTGAACTGTGAGATGTCACCCATTCCCCTGTCTAAAGAACTAGATGCGAACAAAAGTGGTCCAATTCTTGAAGTTACAGAAGCCTTCAGTTTGGAGGAAGTAATGGGTTCAACATTAGTGGAGATGATACTCGAAGAACTTTTGGCAGCAGGAGGAGGAGAATTGACCTCCGAGTGAACAAGAGATGATGCTGCCATTATGAATGCCATAAAAACTTGCAAAATAGAATCAAACCGATAGCCAAACAAGAGTCCCACGAAGAAACAAGAGCAGATTTGGAAGGAGGAGACAAAACCGAGCAGTACTTTCCTGGAACGACCAAAAAAAGACGCTAGAACAGTGTTTCCGGCGATGAACAGTAAACTGGCGACACGAACAGTAACTCCGGTGGTGAACAATAACTCCGTTATTGAACACTGCTTCTGACAGTTGCAAGCCGGAGGGATGCATGACAAGGAAGGAGAGAACACCTAAGCTGTGGGCTTAGGGTTTTAGCAGCGGAAGTGAAAGTTCCTAGAACAAAGAGCTCTGGTACCTACTTAAGATTGAATAATTGTGTGTCTAATAAGAGCACACAGGAAATATATTTATATAAACAAGTGCAGAAACTAATCTATCATATACAAGATGTGAGATTATTCTATTATGTACACAGTACTATTTTATCATACTATTCTAACAAAGATATTTGCCATACTGTTATATGATAGTACTTACCGGATACTGCACATTTTGTAGACACCATTAGATAATACTATCTTGCATCCTATAATTTTATTTTTGAATTTTTTTCTGCCAATATGGGTTTTATATCTTAATAATTTGATAAATGCTAGCTTTTATCATGTTTGCAATGACTAATGCTGAATACAAAAACTCAATTCTTCCTTTCCCTTCCCTCTAGTTATTGACCCGTTTATTATTATTTATTTAAAAAGTGTTATATGAGGGCAAGCCTGGAGCAGTTGTAAAACTAATCCTTTGTGGCTGAAAAGTCACTATTTCATATAGAGAAAATAGCTTCTTTTGAAAAATGTAAGGTAATAAGGGTGCGTACAAGGATTTTTTCACCTCTACTTTCACAAGTTGGGGTTTCATGGCGAGTTGTTTGTGTTTATTTTGTTGGTAATTTGTTGTGATGGTTTTATGTTTTGTTGATGTTTTTGCAATTATTATTATTATTGTTATTATTATTATTATTATTTATTGCATCTTGTACCCGAATTCAGCTTTTTTACCAAATGTCATATCCCTGTGTCGTGCCAATGCTGTATCTGATACCTATACTCGTATTCATGCATCTTAGAATACTTGCTAATATATTTTCATGCATCTAATGCGGCACATATGCAACTATTCGATATGACATCTCTTTTCCCATTGTACAACTTAGGTGGTTTTGATGGAAAATGATATAAATTCAAGGCCATTCTCTTCAGAAGTGTTAGCATGCTTGCCACCATTGCCATGGTCTGTCTCTTCTCAAGATTTAGCTAATCCAATTAGGCAGGATTTGCGTCATTTGCATGTCTTCAGTGTGGACCCTCCAGGTATGGGTTTTATTTATTTTTCCATTTTTATTTCCAATGGGTGAATTATAACTGTATCATCTGTTACTGAAAATTATAATATTTGATCATATTAACTAATTTTAACTATCACAGTTTTCTATACTCATAAAGTTGTTGATGAAAAGTTCAGGGATTAGTTATTCATAGAAACTTATTCTAAGCATTAAATTGGTATATGTTAGAGATCAACAGAACAATTGAGAAAATTATGGGAAGTAATACCTCAAGAACTGTATATTGATATAAACCAACGATAACAGTATTTCAGCAAAGGAAAATTACATTAACAGTATCAGTATACTCTACTCCTATGGAAATGGCAATTGCAGTAATGAAAAATACCGAAAGAATAAGAAAAGATAATGTGAGACAATTCTAGAGGTCTCACTCTCTCCCAATTCCAAAAGGGCCCAATGACTACTATGATTCCAGATATCCCCTACAAGCACCCACTCCTCTATATTTAACCAATTCCTCCGTAACTAACTTGCTCTCCCATGCTTCCATTCTGTTTTGCTGAGTCAATCATATTGCTTTCCCTAAATTGCTGTTAGAGTGGTAATAGTATCGTATCAATACTCCACCCTAAAAACTCACCTTGTCCTCAAGGTGAGGTTTATCCCCCAAGAACCTTCCACCTGGATCCCATTTCTTGAATTGTAGAACCCCGTCAAGATGATCGGCATAATCCCGCCGCGAATTTGCCTGGTACTTCACGTCAGAACGTGGAATAAGTATCGCCCATCGTAACAGTAACTCGAGGACCGCCCAGGTCAACCTACCTGGGTCAAATTCATGGTTCAGCCTGTAAAACACGCAGACAACTTGGCGATCTGGGCATAAAACCTATGACGCCCAAGTAAAACGCCAAGATAAGTTACGATGTTGACTCGACAACCGCCCAGGGAAACCTATGACGACCAAGTAAAACGCCCAAGATAACTTGGCATCAAGCTACGCTTGCTACCAAGCTGTGGGGCTTCTGTTCTGGATAACCCAACCCCTAAGAAGCCCAATAAACCCTTTCCCCTAAAAGGGCCCAACCATGTGGGGCAGCCTAATGGTGGAGGTCCAATGACCCCCCACTTGTACATGTCAGCCCTACCAGCATCGACCAAGCGCTGGTCCCTAGGCGGCTCGCATTCCTAAGCGAGACACTAAAATGCCTCTCCTAGGAACCCCAACCCTTTGTAAGTCGCCCCAGTTACCATTACAGGTAAACGCCCCTCTGTCCCATGCTGCCACCGCCAGAAGCAGGTACTGTATCACTGCCTACTCCTGCTATGGGAGCTAATCATAGCAGGCCCCAAGGAGCGTTGACCTCCAGAAGAGGATCCCTCAACGGATCAGCACATAGGACCTCTATAAATACCACTCCCTCCACACATAGAAAGGATCGATTTATGTATTGTTGATATGCCCATTTGTATTTAGTCTCATTATTGCTCATTATCTGCCATTGATATTAACTGACCAAACCCTTGGAACATTGCCTATTAGCCAGGTCTTTACCTTGGCTGAAGGTATTATCCATATATTGATATTACCCTATCAGGGTACACAGTGGGCTTACTGATTCCATTAATACAACTCTGTCTCCCCCTAACCATTTCGTCCAATCGCCGGATGATTTCTGCCATTCCCCTTTCGTTAGCGTCCATCCTTAATAGAACTTCTTCGTGTCGAGCATCATTAGCGTCAAGCCTTTGAATCACTTCGTCCTGACAATCATAGTTCCTGCGCAGCCTTTCTTCCACAACCTTCATTCTGGTTTCCATGCTTCTTGTCGCTACCATGCCCACAGAGCTCCTAGATCGGAGCTCTGATAACATTTGTTAGAGATCAACAGAACAATTGAGAAAATTATAGGAAGTAATACCTCAAGAACTGTATATTGATATAAACCAGCGATAACAATATTTCAGCAAAGGAAAATTACATTAACAATATCAGTATACTATACTCCTATGGAAATGACAATTATAGTAATGAAAAATACCAAAAGAGTAAGAAAAGATAATGTGAGACAATTCTAGAGGTCTCGCTCTCTCCCAATCCCAAAAGGGCCCAATGACTACTATGATTCCAGATATCCCCTACAAGCTCCCCCCTCTATATTTAACCATTTCCTCTGTAACTAACTTGCTCTGCGATGCTTCCATTCTGTTTTGCTGAGTCAGCCATATTGCTTTCCCTAAATTGCCCTTAGAGTGGTAATAGTATCGTATCAGTATAACAATCTGATAATTTTCAAATGGAAAAAAAAAATATGATGAAAATTTTAATATTTACAGTTTCAGCATGCCCTTAAATAATGTAATCTTTAAGTACAATTGAGGGGCTTGCCTTGACCTTGGAATGGGGCAGCCTGCCCCCCTCCCCTAAACTCTCTTTTACCAAAAAACTGAAATAATAATTTATTTATTTATTCTAAAACTGACTAATGTTCATATTTAAAAGATAATGAAAAGTTGGATCAGCAAGGGGAATATAATGTCGTAATGATGATAAACAAAAAGATTTTATAACAAGTATAGAAAAGCATGTCAAGGAGATTTAACTGAAATAAGTAAGATGATCATGTAAGCTATGTCATAGGATATTAAGAAGCAATAGGTGAGAAAACCAAGTAAGATAGAGCAGAAGAAAGAAGGATGTGGTTCTGCACTTACTTTCATTTTATAAGAGACTACAAAACCAATATTACCATAACTGGTACCTTTTTCCGATGATAATTTTTTTAATCTTGGATGGGCCAACTTGTCACACAATCAGAATGAAGTGGTTATATGACTACTGCTTACGGAAAAAGGACACAGTGAAATAATAAAGAACCATTTAAAGTAGCTGCTTTAATTTGATTTAGAAGAGAACATGGTGTAAAGATGTTGTTGTATTTATGTTGCTTCTTGCATGTAGACTGCAAGGATATCGATGATGCACTACACTGTTATGCTCTTCCAAATGGAAACTTTGAAGTTGGAGTTCGTATCCTTTATCTGAGGACATTTATTTTACTGATGATGCTATGTATCGATAGGCTATATGTATTCAAATTAGCATCTTGGATTACTATAATTGGACGTATTTTATGATTTCATCATTTATGTGCGCACGTACTTTAGTTTGGCATAAATTTGGATGCCCTTGTTGGCAAATTTAACTAGCATATCTGCTTGTCTATTTTGTTTTTAGTGTCCTTTCAAAATATGATAAATATAAATGCTTTCTTTAGGATGCTTGAATTGTATACTGTGAATGCAATATGATACTGCTTTGCTGGCCAAAATTTTAGAATATTTGATTGTTACTCGCATGTGTTATTTTTTTTTTCTGATTAGAATCTCCGTGTCCTAAGTGTGGTAAGAAGTTATCAAATAATATACCTTAGAACTTGCATGCCTTAGCAATATATTAATATCCATCCTCTTCAACAGCCAGGCTTCGTTAGTTCTACTGCCCTTTTCCTTTTACTTTGGCACCCCTATCTTGCCTGGTTTATACTATTTAATTCCTCTATGTGGTTCATCTTTAACAAGTTTCTCAGATATTGCTGATGTGACAAATTTTGTGCATCCTGGCACTCCACTTGATAAAGAGGCTGCGCAAAGGGGTACATCTGTCTACCTTGTTGAGCGGCGGATAGACATGCTTCCAAAACCTCTTACGGAGGGTAAAGTCATTTGACCTTCTTTTTACCCTTTAGGTGTATTGTATGCTGAAAAAAAGTACATTGCTGTGGTTATAGCAATTTTTCTGCCATCATTGATAAACCTTAATCTGGCAGACATATGTTCTCTTCGATCTGATGTGGAAAGGCTAGCATTCTCTGTCATCTGGGTAATGTGCAATCTCATATTTTTACCACAATTACACTTATTGCAATTTACATATTCTTTACATGCATGTGCATTAGTATTGGATGGAGTTTATTATTGATTTGAAAACTTTTAAACATTCTACACACAATCACTGATGTCAACCATCAAGCTCATCTACAAACTTGCAACGGCCACATGGCTGGTTTTCCTTCTTCAATGTTTTGTTTAACACTCTAAAATTTAGATTCACAAGTGCTACTGCACTGTGCCACCATTGTTACCTCCACCATTTCTGTGTCCTGAACTGTGTTGCTTTTTATTACTATTATTACTTTTATTCCAAGCTGCTGCCATTACCAGCTTAACCATCGAGACTACTTATTATCCTTGTTACTACTGTTGCTACCATGTGATATATCACATCGACAGAGCCTTCATGTAGCAATTTTCATTTTTTTTTCTTTTCTTTTATGATGACTTTTTCTTTTAAATGAATCGGGACAATATTCATTAAACAAAGTATAGAGCAGGCATCACACACCTTTACACAATACAATCAACAATATTATGTACCAGCTGAGGAACAGTGTCTTTGGAAATATGTAAGGTTAAAGTTGCGTATGAGGATTGTTCTTATCCCACCATTACTAGTCGGGGTTTATTAGGGAGTGGTTTTAAACAATAGCAGAAAGAAAACAACCTTAGCATAAGAAGTGGCAAGCTCTCCATGAAATAAACTCATCTTACAATGCTTTCCCTTGTATGTCAACTTTTACGTTAATCTCTGTTCATACTATGCACTTTACAACCAGTAGGAGACACCAATTTAGAATGTATAACAGCTATAGCTTTAGATAAAGCATGTTCCACAGTGCAGAAGCTTGTCCGGTAACATAGTGTAGATAAGTACTTTCCAAGCTAGGTAAATAATGTATTTTGTTATTTGCAACCATTATTATTTGTTGTCAGTTGTTGCTATGGGTCAGTCAAAAGGCATAACCTCTCCTTGGACAATAATGTGTTACAACCCAGAACCAGTCAAACAGAATTGAAAGGTCACAATATGGAATTGTATTACTTTGATCAAATCAAATAATCCCAGCCAACCATACAAGACATGTTTCGGTACTTCCATTTACACGGATAGCAGATGAGAAATGAAGATGAGAACCAAAGTGGAAAGGTAAGCTGAACACGAATAGCAACAACCTAGAAGAATTAGAGCTCTTCCGAAGGCCCATGATCTTAATTCCCTAAAGATGCCTAAGACATTCCTCCCTATCCTTCTTATAATCCTCTTCCCTAGATAGCCGAATCCCACTCTCCCATTGATGTCCCCGGGAACGTGTGACTTAGTTATGAAAGTGTTGAACCCTGGTGGTTGCAACCATGATACGCCCTAGTGATGTTTGGTATCATAACATAATGCATGTCCAAATCTCACAAAGGTGTATCACCACCATTTTGGCTATGCATTATGTAATATATATATATATATATATATATATATATATATATATATATATATATAGGATTAATTTGCATTAGTGTAAGTCTAATGAGTCTTACACCTGTTGTTAATTGTTGATTCTACTTGTATCTAGTGGCTCGCGTGACTAATAAATTAGAGCCATCAAATGTAAGTGGGATCAATAGCTAATAATGAGTGTAGGACTTACACTCATGTAAGTTGATCATTCCCCATGTATGTGTGTGTATGTGTATATAGAGAGAGGCAGAATCATTTTGCTCAGTGTATCTTATACTCTCATTTATTACTTATATGTAATGGCTCTAATTTATTACTTATGTGAACAATTGTATACAAGTGCATCGACGACTAAGTGTTAAAACTATTTTTTTCTTATATTGGTGTAAGTTACACTTTCAAATTTCTATCTTAGTTGTTTATCTCACTTGCATCTAACGATTCACTTGACTAATAAATTAGAGCCATTGGATGCAAGTGGCAACAACTAATATTTTGTATAAGAATAACAAGTCTTATAAGTGTTAATTTCACTTATATCTAATGACTTTAATTTATTAGTCTCATGAACCGTTAGATATTAGTGGGATTAACTGCTAAGATTGAGTGTAACACTTAGACCTTTATAAATTGATCATGCCTTATATATATATATACATATATATACATATATATATATATATCCCACACTCCAAAGTGTCGTGGTGTATGTTTTTTGCTGATGATATTGTGCTTATTGATGAGACCAAAGACGGTGTTAATAGGAAACTTGAATTGTGGAGAAGCACTTTGGAGTCTAAAGGTTTCACGTTAAGCCGGAGCAAGGCTGAGTATATGAAGTGTGAGTTTTTTCTACTAAGAGATGGAAATTAAGACCCCGTGCATCTACTTGGTCAAGAGGTACCCAAGAAAGATGCTTTTAGATACCTAGGATCAATTTTACAAAAAGGTGGTGAGATTGATGAAGATGTAAATCATAGAATCAGAGCAGGATGGATGAAATGGCGGAGTGCATCTGAGTTTTTGTGTGACCGCAAAATTCCCCTTAAGCTAAAAAGGAAATTCTATAGAACAACAGTAAGGCCTGCAATGTTATATGGAGCTGAATGTTGGCCAGCACATAGACAACACGAGCATAAAATGAGAGTAGCAAAAATGAGAATGTTAAGGTGGATGTGTGGTTATACGAGGATGGATAAGATAAGAAATGAAGATATTCGACGAAAGGTAGGAGTAGTACCGATAACTGAAAACATGAGGGAGCATAGATTGAGGTGGTTTGGGCACGTAATGAGACAGCCCCTGAATGCTCCTGTAAGAACAAAAGTTTGTTACCAAGAGCTCGACACAAAGAGAGGTGGAGGTAGACCGAAACTTACATGGGGAAAAGGTAGTTAAACAAGACTTTATGGAGTGAGATATAGATTGGCGGACAGTGTGTCTTATGACGGAATAGAGAAAAGCTATAAGCAGGGTGAAAGGTTAAACCCGTTGTTATTCCTATGTTCCAGATAATCCCTTTTTAGTCTTTTTCCTCTTCAATCCCCCTCACTTTCTTTTCCCCTTCTTGTCTTTTATCTTATTTCCCCCTTCCCCAATTTTTATTGTTATTTTTATTTATTTATTTTATTCTATTGTTATTTTTTTTATTTTATATGTTCTGGATGAACATTAATCTGGATTCTCTCTGTGTAGTTAATGTCTGCTCTTATCTTAACCCTTAGACTATATATAGGTGTAGCCTTGGAACGGTTACCTGTGTCATGGGATTGGTGGTTACCATCGTGACATCGTGGCAGGCCCACTTAAAACTCCCTTACTGAAAGTGCTGGCTGACTCAACTGACTGCTACTCCAGTACGCGCAGTCGTTAAGGACATGCTTACTCGCCTATTCCTGGTTCCGAGTATCTCACTTGTACAAGCCCGTCTAGCTCGCTGTGTTAACCCGGAACATTAAGCCCCCAAGCTCGGAGTTAAATGGGTTTTTTGCTCCGAGTTTAACTCCCAAAGTTTCCCTTTTTCGTTAAGTCCTGTACCTTTCCCTTATATTTGTATCCTTATTAAATACTCTTTGCTTATTCAGCTTCCAATCGCCACTTGTCGCTTTGTGATTGCCTTGATTTTCGAAAGGACTTGACATCTGAAACGACTCATCCTGCTACTCATCATTATTTTTTGAAATTCGAAAACGTCGGTTGCTCATTACCCCTATATCAGCGTTTGGGTTTTCATTGCATTTCACCCTTTTCCTTCTTCTTCTTCGTTACGATACTTCGCCTTTCTTGCTCTTCTTTCTGATATTTCTTCCTTGCTGCTTCATTGTTCTTCCTTGTGGATCTTGCTATTACTCTTTTGTCACCTGGTTGAAGCCTTCGTCCCTCACACCAGTAAGTTCCTCTCTTTCCTTTACAGCGTAGTTAACTTATGGTATTATGTGTGCTTATTTATGCTTATTACGGTACATCCATTTCTTTAACCACATGTTGTCGAAAACTTACCGTCTTATCCTGTATCTGTTTCCTTTATTCCACCTTGTTCTGATCTTTATCTCTTCCTTTCTTTGATTTTCTTTAACCACCCTGGCATGTTCTGGAGGGGTTAATCATCTATCGTAACCCACACATTTTACGTTATATACCTTTTAATTTGCCTTATATTTTCTAAAATAGATTTTATTGGTACCTTTCCGTTCAGGCCATGACGAGGAATCGTCCTTACCGTTCGCTTCCCTTATCACGCTTCGCATTACCCTCTACTGTTGAAGGTTTAGAATGGGTTGAAGAAGAAGCTCTAGGGCTTCGCTCCTCTTATGAAAACCAACCGAGTTCTCTTCATACCCTTACAAACTGTGCCTCTATTTCGTGACTCAATTATCACTTCTTTCCGAGTTGAAGTACCCGGAGAAGAAGAACGTATTTGTTCACCTTCTGGGCAAGGTGAGAATTCTTTCTTCTTTGTCTACAAATGTTTATTTTCTGAGCTCTTCATATCCTTACCTTTTTCCGAGTTCCAAGTGGACGTCCTGAATCACTTGCAAGTCGCCCCCTCTCAACTACATCCTAACAGTTGGTGTTTTCTAAATACCTTCGAGATAATTTGTCGCTCGTTTGGGTTCTCCTATTCGTTTCGGGTCTTTTTCTGCCTTTTTGCTGTGTTCCGAAATGCTGTGGATAAACGATGTACTCGTCATAGCTGGGTTTCTTTAAAGGCTCGACCCGGGTTACGTTGGTGTTCTATATATGAAGATAACTGGAAAATTTTTAAGGAAGAATACTTCAAAATCTGTATTCCTGAAGCTCTTCCTGCCACTCCTTCTGCCTCTTCTTCTTCTTCTCAACCTTCCTCACCCTCTGCTTTCTTTTTGGGTCAGCACGGAGCTTCGCGCTTTCCTCTTAGTTGGAACCGTCTTCATTACACCACTCCTGCCAAGGCATTCTTGACGAATTCACTGAATTTGAACCTCGAAGAAACTGAAACTTACACTTGGTTCACCAAGCTTGCCTCCGAATTAGCTAAGGAAAATATTTCCCTCATTCCTCGGTCTATTCTAACTTATAAAGACTCTTCTGAGTGGGTTTGCAAAAAATTAAGTAAGTAACTTAAATAGTTTTGATATGTTTTTGTTTTTTTTTTTGAATATTACGTTTAACCTCAAATCTATTTTCTTTGTATCTGTGATTCTCAGATAAAGTCATGAACCCTTCCTTTTTTGCCCGCCAAAAGCAAAAGGCTACTCGTTCTCCAATGCCGGCTACGTCTGCTACCAGTTCTATCCCGGACAATACTGTTATAATGGATGTGGAGGCCCCCATTGATTCTAGCGAGCTCCTTCGAAGGAAACGAGTTCGCATTAACGAACCTAGTCCAGACTCTTATGTTGAAAAGTCTTCAACACCTCCTACTTCTGTCATTGCTACTCCTCGCGCGGAACCCCCTTTTATGAAAAAATTGAAACATTGTTTTACTCCCGGGCTCCGTGACAAATGGGACAAGTTCTCTTTAGATCAACTTATGGCCAAATTTGCTGACATCCGAGATCACTCCCTCCGAGAAGCGCACTATTATGAAATGGCACTTCTCGCCTTGGCTGAACGTCAACAACTTCTGACTGATCTGAAAGAGTCTCAACTCTTAAAGGAGAAGTTACAAATAGAACCGACGCAGCTCCTTCAAAAGGTCGAAGCTGTCGAGTTTGTTGCTCAAGGCTTCCAAATTAAACTCAAAGAAAGCGAAGAATCTCATAAGAAAAGCAATGAAGAACTTGCTACTCTAAAAAAGGAACATCAAGTGTTAACTGAGAAAAACCAGGTGTTGACAAAAAATTATGAGAATGCTGACCTCCGGGTAGCTGAGTTAGAGTTAGAAGTGGATACTCTGAAGAAAAGTGTCCAGTCTTTACAACAAGCTGCTGAAGACATGGATTCCAAATATGTTGACTTCGGTCATCAAATTCGTGGCTGGGTTGTGGATCAGGTGAAATTTTTCCATCCAGACTCTCCCTTGCCTCATTTGAACAAAATAGAAACTTTCAACTTCATTGATAATGACTGACTATGCACTCATGACGAACAAGGCTCTGTTGCTGTTCTTGCTGAAAGCCCCTCTGATTATTTGGGATTTACCCCTGCTTCCGACCTTGTTGCCTCAAGCCCTGCTCCTAAGACTACTTAGAGAAGTTTAGACATCACTTGATTTTGTACTCAGCTCTTTTATTATAACTATTGTAATCTTGTACTCGTAAGCTACTTGTTTTCATTAAGTATTTGAACCCGTAAGCGTGAAGTGAAATGATGTATTATTATTTGATTCTCACTTTCCTTTAAATACCTGCTTGCTCTTGTTGACACAATTATACTCTCATTACTCTTTTTTCTACTCGTCAGTATGTCTTTACATAACCGTTTCCGAGTAGGAATTGAACGGCTGCCCAAGAGGCCAATGAAGGCGGCAAGGGACTTTAATTTTCCCGTTTCCGAGTAGGAATTTAACCGCCCAAGAGGCCAATGAAGGCGGCAAAGGACTTTAATTTAACCATTTCCGAGTAGGAATAAAACGGCTGCCCAAGAGGCCAATGAAGGCGGCAAGGGACTTTAATTTAACCATTTCCGAGTAGGAATAAACGGCTGCCCAAGAGGCCAATGAAGGCGGCAAGGGACTTTAATTTTCCCGTTTCCGAGTAGGAATTAAACGGCTGCCCAAGAGGCCAATGAAGGCGGCAAGGGACTTTAATTTAACCATTTCCGAGTAGGAATAAACGGCTGCCCAAGAGGCCAATGAAGGCGGCAAGGGACTTTAATACACTTTAACAATTCATAAAGAGCATAATAACATAATACATTTTAATACACTTTAAAGTCGAACTGGCTTGATTGAATTGAAATATTGCAATACATAATAACATATGTAAAGTAACTGCAACACATAACATAAAATACTCCTACTACATTTAACAAACTAGCTTCCTAATCCCTAATGCAAAGCTAAGGCCTACGACCTGCCATCCGACTTCCACTTAAACCTGGATTTCTTCAACTAAAGTACCTTTTTAACTTGGCAGCATTCCAATATCGCGGAACTGGTTTCCTATCCAAGTGCTCTATCTGATACGCTCCAGTCTTTGTGGCAACTATTACTCGATAAGGACCTTCCCAATTAGCTGCCATCTTTCCATCTCTTGCATTTTTATTACCCACATCTGCCCGCCTGAGCACCAAATCTCCTTCCTGAAACGTCGTTTTGACCACAGTTTTATTATATCTCATTGCTGCTCGTTGCTTGGACGCCTATTCTACCATTGCCATCTTTTCTCGTTCTTCGTCTAACAACTGTAAATCAATTTTCATCATCTCCTCATTCCCGTCTTCCTTTTCTTCTGATATCATTTTCCTCCTCCAAGTTGGCTCTCCGACTTCCACGGGCAACATAGCTTCAAAACCATATGTCATCTTAAATGGTGTTTCTTGAATGCTGGATTGTACTGAAGTCCTATATCCCCACAACACATTATCCAATTCTTCCACCCAACTTCCTTTACACCTTTCCACCCTCCTTTTGAGTCCATTCGTCAAGATTTTGTTAGCCGACTCTACTCTCCCATTCGTTTGGGGATGTTCTACTGCAGCGAATTTGTGTTTTATCCCCAAGTCAGCTACAATCTGTCTCAACTTCTTGTCTATGAACTGTGTCCCGTTATCAGTGATAATTATGGCCGGAATACCGAATTTGCAAACTATCTTTCCAATAAAAAACTTCTGGACCTTCCGAGCAGTAATTGTCGCTATCGGTTCCGCCTCAATCCACTTAGTAAAATAATCTGCTGCCACTATCAAATATCTAACTCCTCCAGCTGCCCTAGGAAAGCGACCTAGAAGATCTAATCCCCACTTATAGAATGGCCATGGTGAGGAAATGGTAAATAACTCTTCAGGAGGAGCTTGATGCACACTAGCAAACTTCTGGCATTGGTCACACTTCTGAACATGTCTTTTAGCATCTTCTCCCATAGTTGGCCAAAAATATCCTGCTCGTATAGCTTTCCTTGCCAAGGAC